CTTCAACAAAAGAATTTGCCTAGAACTGAAAAAAGAGATGATGAGTGAGGTGATAAGCTTAAAGAGGTGATGAGCAAGAAGATGAGTTTAACCTGTAAACAAAGAGAGATACCACAGTGTTCTGTTCTAAAAAGAGTTTTAAAATATTAAATGTAGGACAATCACTATGGTAACCAGTGGAACCTGCAGGCACATTCCATTACTGACTCCTAATGGGTTCTGATTTTATTTTTTTTTCATATATCATTTTTATTAAGTCAAAACAGGGTATAAGTGTACATTACGTCAATTATACATTGCCAGTGACACAAAGGAAATCTTAGTTTCAGTGCATTGATTGGTAAACAAGGTTGTATGTGATCATAACATGGGTTCTGATTTTTTTAATGCTGCCTATGAAGCCTATGTACAGGTCACAAATTCTATTCACTCTAAATATATCATACATACCCCACTAACACTTGAAAGATCCAAAACCGAGAACTCTTATTCAAAAAGCAAACATTAAGCTCCTCTTTATGAACATCTGGTAAATCCAACTTATTCAGATTCATCCTAAAAAAAGGCATTGGGCATTCATCACCATTGATCATTTACTAAACAGAATAAGTAAGAGCAAGTTACTAAATGACACCTGAATCCAGGCACCTGGAAAACGTAATTGCATGTCATATCTCATGGCAATACAACATGCTTGAGCTTTATTTAATATGCAATGTTGTCCATTTCCAGCAATATAAGACAGAGAGAGAGAGAGAGAGAGAATGGCCTAGCTCTACTCTATTGTCTCACATCTTGGATGTAAGAGACAGTGATTGGACACATGCTCTGGTCTGGGGCATTTTTGCTATAAGCCTTTGCTCAAAATTTCAATAATGACTAGCAAACATTTGCTTTACTTCCTCTTTAAGAAAGAACTTTCATTAACCAAAATAATTGCGATAATCAATTGAGAATAAAACAACTCTCCTTCTGTTATGTAAACAGATTTTGAACCGGTTGAACAATTTTGAAGATATTTCTAGTAATACATTTCCACCTGCCTGGTTGACACACATCTCTATATGCTGGAGGCAATGTGGGTGGATATCTAACCTCTCCTGATGCCTGCAGTAGTTACAAAACAAGTTACAGTGATTTTAAATAGATACTGCAAGAGCAGCCAATTAGGAAGTGCAGTTTGGGGATATTCATTGATATATTCTAAACACAAGAGACTCATATAAAATGAAAATCACTACTTAAAAAAGAATAAAGGCAGGGTGTCATGTTAAAATGAAGGAATACATCTTGACAGTGTAGTTTACTGAATTCTTGTACGAAAGGAAGGGTAACTCCGACCATCATAAACACTACAGCCAACTGTAGTTTGCCCACTGTTTGCACTCTTACCTGGGCCACCAGACCTCCTCTGTAGGCAGGTTTATGACATTGGCTTCTGTACATACACTGATCCTGCCACTCATTCATTGGCTGAGATTGTCTTCTGATCACTTGGCCAGTGAATGAGAATCTGTGCATAGAAACATGCACAAAATTAACATTAGCCAGCCTGGCACTCTTGTTTCAGGCTGACTGATGACATCCCAATGCAGGTGAAATGCTACATATACAGACACCAGGCACCAAGACCATTTCAAATCACTGAAGGGGTTATGGTGCTTGGAATAGCCCTTTAACAGGAACAAGGACAAAACTCTACCGAACAGCATTTTCTATATAAAAAGCAAAGCTTGGTGTAAATTAACACTCCAAACCTCTAAAGCATTTTGATTTCCATAGAAATTGGCACTTTTGTAGAGCTTCTGGATTGCACTCTCCATGCTGTCAATAAAACAACCAGGGGTTGCTATTTTGACATTTTTCATACTGGATTTTATGTTTTTCATACAGAAGCACTGGGTTCAATGCTTCTCTATGAGAAGCACTGAAAGCCCAGATTGGCAATTATTCCACATATATTATGCATCCTAATGCTTCCCTGCAAGAAGCATTTGATTAGATGCAAGATCATTAGTTGTGATTATCTATTGGAAGCGCCACACAGTGTGGTTAAGAGACCCTTTCATTACTGGATTACAGGTAAGTTAACTATTTTTTTCAGGTAATCTAAATGGTGTTTTAATTACGCCAGTGTTATAAATAAAAGTTTGTAGTTTGTATGCTAGAGTGTTCCTTTAAATCTACAGCTTCTGCAGAAACCAAGATGTAATGAAATGTGCTTATGGAATAGGAAGTACAGCTGTTGTGAGTAGTTTTATACATGAAAATACATGAATTAAACTATTGTGCAAGCCAAAAGAAACCACAGCATGAATTCTATTAATTTGACGAGCAAATTAATTTATACTTTATATGATGTACACATTGTCTCATAGAAAGTTGTATAAATTATATAGGATTTACATGATGTGCATATTGTGCATTCACACCCTACAAGAGCTTGTGTGGCAGGGGGTAGCATAGTTTCATGCCCTGTAGCAACACAGTAGAAAAGTCATTTATTCAGCACAATGTACAGATACAAATATTAGAAGATGACAACAAACCTTGTGTTATGCATGCCAGAGTCCCTTTAAATAAATAACATACACAGTTACCATTTTAAAAAATATATTTATTTAAAGAGATAAGTTAAAAAAAATAGATAATACAAGAAAATAAAGGGTGGGACAAAATTCAGAGTATGATTTGACAAGTAAATATCTTATTTGTTAGTAGTTCAATTATTTTGAGTCTTGGTAGATTCATCTTTTGTAATTTCGCAAAGGAACGAGTAAAAACAGTGGAATTTTGTTTTTAAAACCGAGACAAGTGTTCGGCAAGCGGATAAATTCAAGAAATTATCAGATTTATTGGCCGCCATATTCGCCTGACTTTTAAGCTCCCAATAACTTCCTGTGGGGATTTCTGAAGGAGCAGGTATATGTGAACAAATTGCAAACACTTGAGCAGCTTAAGGAGAATATCCGTGCAGAAATTTGATCGCTAGAGCCTCTAATGTTATAAATAATGCAATCGTAAGAGCCCGACTTTACAAGGCAGCAAATGGAGCTCATTTAATACTCTAGATTTTGGCCCACCCTGTTTATATCTGTAAGTGTGAAAGAATCAATAACAATTCTGAATAACACAACTGCAAATACACATAAAATCTTTCAAGTGGAACACTGTCTTGTGGGCATTTGGAAAATGCATAGATCATAGACAACTGCTAGCTACGCTGTAATAACAAGAAGAGATATCATAGGTATCATAAATTGGTGGTGCACAGTTACAACACAGAAAACTAGTCTTGTGCATAATGTACATTTTGTTTCAGGTGACAGGTTCATTTGAAGAACTCTCGCTGTGCCATGGTTTTACTAAGTTTTATTGCATTGCATATAGCAAGTTAATAAACTATAGCTTCCAGCTACACCTTTTATCATGTATGAGCTATAGTGTAATGTTTTAGAAAACTCTGGTAAGTGGTACCTCTTGTGGCTGCCAATGTCATCAGATGGGGGTGTTGAAAGAAGTGCCAGGGATTTTGCCTGGCGCTGGATAAAGGTAAGTAAAATTTATTTTAAAATAATTTGTAAAGTGAATTGGGGAGGGGGGAAGGGCCCCAAATTATTATTAAAGTATTGGCCTAAAGAATAATACACCAATACAGCATTATTCATTATTTTTTAAAAACAATTGAGATTGGATTAACCCTTTAACAGGTGTGTTAACCAGTACATTACAAGTTGTAGGCCTTAATAACCAAAGTGAAGTAGTTGAATCAAGGAATGTTTCTAATTTAAATATCTTGGGCTAAAATGTTTAAATCCTTACAAGTAAATAAAACAACAAACTTTGGAGAATTGTTCCTTACAATGCAGCAATGGAGGCTAACAATGCTTACACTAGTACCTCTTGACTCCACATCCAATTTATAATGTAATATCCAGGAATAAGACCTATCGCAATATGGAGTATTACCCCTTTTTCTATCATCAGGCACTCAACCGCAGTTTACAATGAGTATGTTAAACATTGAATCAAAACTTCAGTGAAAGTGCAGCTTGCTACATTCTTAGTGGGATAAGATTAGAAATGCACTGATGGCTGTTACATGATTGAGAAAAGAGATGGGTGTTGAGTAACGTTATATTTATTTCTTCTGAATGAACTTCTTTTCATTGTGGGAGAGAGAATTGCAGATTTGGAGGAGCACGCCTAACATTAAATGTTATGGGTGTTTAGTAGATTCATTCTAATTAACTTGTTCAATGAACACAGTGAGATTGTAAGGGACCACGAGGTCCTTCATGTAGCCGGACTCCTGGTTCTTTAAAAAAAGGCATCTATGTAGTATATTTACAATTTTACAGTCAGAATAGAGTGGATAACCAAGCATTTGGTTTTGGTTACCACCTTTCAAAAAACACTATTATTATTATTATTGTTTTTTTATATAGTGCCAGCTCATTCCCCAGTGCTTTACACTATTATGAAATGGGGAAATTGAACAATAAATGAGACAAATATAAAATGCTACAGAAACAATATGTAGATGAGGACTGCGCAAACAAGCTTACAGTCGCAGTGGTTCCTAACCCAGTCCTCAAGTACCGCCTAACAGTCCAGGATTTAGGGATTACCCAGTTGTGTCTAAGGTGTTTTTATTAAGAAAGAAAAGAAAAAACACTTTAGACACAACAGGGTAATCCTTAAATCCTGGACTGTTTGGGGGTACTTGAGGACTGGGTTGGGAACCCCTGGTCTAGAGGGATTTACTCACTAAACTCCAAATAGCAGAGTCTGCATGTCAAAATCTGGGGTAAAAGAGCTGATTTGTTAAATTGTTTCACCTTAACAATAGTCATAGCTTGGCTAATTGACCTAAATTATTGAATTGCATTTTCGATTCAGTAAAACTGAGAGTTTAGTGAACAATCCTGTGATGATACTACAAACACAACTACCAGCAGAAACTGAGTTAAAACTCATACAAAATAAATTGTATAGTTCTCAGGTCATTCTCAACTTTTTTCTCAAGTAGACAAATAAAACCAGTTATTTTCTGTATTTACAAATCTGTGACTATATTAGGATTCAAGTCCAAGGGAATCCCCTTCATCAACCATTGCTATGTGAAAATGTACTTAGCCTGTTTCCTGTAATCAGAAGTTCCCCTTATATTTCCTCTCTGTTCTTGTCTAGTCTATGCACTTAACATAATCCATCATACAAAACGGGCACAAACAACTTTTTAAGAAAACATTTTACTTTTGCATTGCTAAATGGCAGATAAATAAATTGAGGCAATTTCCAAATGAACCTGATTTTTTGTGTTTTTAATTGCTTTAATGTTGCATTTTACAGAACATTTATGGACTTACATATAAACTACATTGCAGTGTGAAAGTAAATTATTCCCAATCGTCCCAAAAGGTGACCGATAATTCATTTTTATATATTACACATACTAGCAGTTGACTTTGCATCTACACAGTGAACGGATGGCAAGCTAATCAGCATTTTATATAACACCAGAAACTTGCAAATAAACTACATTTCGTGTTTGTTTTTCTTACTGGCTTGATGACTCATTCATTGCTGTTAAGTTAGACCAATTTTCTTGCTCTTCTGGTTTATTTATTCCTAAGAGTTTTACACTTTGTAATTTTTCTTGTGCTGCACTTTTCACTTTCTTACATTGTTTGATTTTATTAGAACCTATTTATTTATGACACTGTCTTTGGCTTACACCTAAAAGTATTTACCAAGGAATGCGTAAAGTTTATATGCAGTATAACTTAAAAGTGAGTAATAGTTTCTTTGTGTAGAAAGTACACATGCTGCAGTACATGTTGAGTTGTCAATATCTAGTTCCATGGTTCATGCTTGTGGTGATTCCCAGATGGTATCTTCAGACTTGAAAATGAGAGTGTTTTGATAGCGATACAGGTTTTAAATATATAGTGCGATTGAAAAGCAATCTAAAGAGCAAGCACAGTAAGATGCATGACCACCAAGGCAATTCTTTTTGACACCATATGTTCATCTCTTAAACAAACCTGCCCTTCCCTTGGATGTATCTCAAGAAATGGTGCATTTTTGGTGCAATTAGTTACTACAGCAACTCCACCATGACACTATGAAATCTGCATTGAGTGCCTGTCCACTTCGTGTTTGACTCTAGTGGGCATGATATGTCTGTGGACTTTGACTTGAATGTACATTGCATGTCTTTTTGTTAATTAAGATATATTCCTAGGCTGCAACCACTAACATTTCCACTTTACCACAAGCCGAACTAAAGCGCAAAGTTTAGTGCCTTAACGATCCGACAAGGTAGTAATATTTAAAGGACTACTAAATGCAACATGAATACTTAATGTCAATGAAGTGGTCTGGGTGCATTGGCCTTTACTATTAACTCTGCAATGTAAAATATTGCAGTTTTGTAGGAACTGCAATGTTTCTGTTGCAGGGTTAAAGACGACGCTAGTGACTGTCTTCCTGACAGCCAATACAGGAGCTTTGCCTGTGAAAACTGAGTCAGGCTCAAGTCTTGGTCAAATGTTGATCTTAGAGAGCATTTCATTTGTGCAGTGCAGACATTTTCTCATAGAGAAGCATTGGATAGGAGAGGGCAAAAGGAAATGCTTCTCCAATCAAATACTTTCACCAGCATTTAATTTCAGGACCAAGTTTTATTAATTTAAGGAGATGGAAAAGCCTCTGGTGGCTGTCAGGGAGACATGCATAACGGCAATATTTTACATTAACAGTTTAACCCCTTAAAGACACATGACATGTGTGACATGTCATGATTCCCTTTTATTCCAGAAGTTTGGTCCTTAGGGGGTTAAAAGTACAGGACCCCTGCACCCAGACCACTTCATCAAGATGAAGTGAATGGGGTAACTTTAGTGGTCCTTTAATTTTGATAATATCACTGGAATCAATAGTGGACTATTAGATTAATACTTGAAGGGATAAGATCTATATTAGTATATACACTGGAAATTGTGCTATAGGTAGTCAAATCGAATAAAAATCAGTCAATAAATAAATAGCAATCCAGGTAGAACAAGCATGTCAAACTCAAAGGCTAGCAAGGGCCAAATAAACAAGGTTTAAGTTTATGCTGGCTGCAAAGAAAAAAAACAAATGTAAATTTTCACCCCCTCTACTAAACCCCAGCCCCCCCTTGTCTACTAAACTCCAGTTCCCCCATATCTACTAAATCCTAGCCTCCCCCCAGCTACTAAACAACTGTCGCTGTTTAAAAATAAATAAATAATTTTTAAAAATCCGCACCTTACAAAAGAGGATCCTCCCGTTACTCCTTGAAACCCTCACACACACTCTGACAGACAAACAGAATCACTCTGACACACACATACACTCACAGACACACACATTCACTGACAGACACACAGGCTCCCTCACAGACACATACACACAGACAGAAACACACACACAGCCATGCACGCAGACAGCCAGACACCTATACACGCAGACAGCCATACACCTATACACAGACACACAGCCATACACACAGACAGTCATACACTTATACACACAGACAGCCATACACATACACAGCCATACACCTATACACACAGAAAGCCATACACCTATACACACGGACAGACAGACAGACACACACACACATCCATACACACAGCCTGGATTGGTTTCTTACCTGGGGTCTAGTGGGGCTGCTGGGGAGGCGGACAGGCAGTGAGGGAGCGCTGGGTGTAAGCTCTCCCTGCTCAGCTCCCTCGCACGCCATAGTGATGCTGTTAGCCAGAGTAACGTCATATTCCAGCTCCCGGTATCACTGCAGGGAGCTGAGCAGGGAGAGCTTACACTCAGCGCTGAGGTAGAAGTAGAACCTGGGTAATGGAACCAAATGTATATATTTGATTTGTGGCAAATTGTGTCTGCTGAAAAATAAACATTTCAGCACAAAGCACAATTTGTGGGGCAGGTTTGACAAGTACATTTCACTATATTCTGTTCCAATCCTAATGTCAACTGTAGGGGAACTTGGCCTCTATTATTTGACCTTAACTATACACAGCAGAAATGTATTAAGGACTAGACCTAGCATAGAAATCAATGAACACTGGAGGATGTGGTCCAATTTGAAAACTATTACAAATGTAAAAGTATGGAAAAATTACATTGGTGTATTTTACTACTGCCCTGTTCTACCATGCCTACATCGACAATGCCCCAGTACTTAGTTCAGGTCCTGGGCAGCTAATTAACAGCTTGCTGTCCAGGACCTGGCTTAAGTGCTATACTGGGTGTGGCGTTATTGTGGCCTAAGGGCAGGGCCAGTGCAAGCATTTTTGCCGCCCCCATTCATGCAGACTAACCCGCACGCTGACTCAAGTATAAACACACACTGATCCATGCAAACTAACGCACACATATTGACCCATATACACACACTGATCCATGCAGTGACACACATATAGATACACGCTATGAACCATACAGACACACTACATGAAGAAATGCAGACACAAACACTGACCTATGCAAACACACACACTGACCCATGCAGACACATACACTGACCCATACAAGCACACACTGACCCATGCAGACACACAATGACACACACTGACCCATGCAAACACACACAATGACACATGCAGACACAGTGACCTATACAGACAGACGCTGACCCATACAGACACACACTGACCCATGCAGACACACCGACCCATAAGGACACACACTGACCCATACAGACTGACATACACAAACATACTGACTGAAGCAAACTAACACACATTCTCTAACACACATCTTACCTCCATTGCTGTTCCTATGTTGCCTCTTGTCCCCATGTACAGGGGAAGAGGCGGGATCGAGCAATTGAAGCACCCTTGCGCTGCTTCAGCATTGGATGCCTGGGAGGGGGCCTGGCTCTGATGGCTGATGTGGATGCCGCCGGACCGGTGTTCTACCTGGCGCTAGTGAGCAGCAATGTAAGTGCTCCCTAGCCCTCAGTAACATGGCTGGCGGCACACTTGAAATAATACATGGGCGGCTGCGGAGCAAACTTGAACAAAAAGTCAGGGCTGGTGCAAGTTTGCTCCACTGCTGCCCCTTTATTTCGAATATGCCGCCGGCCATGTTACTGGGCGCTAGGGAGCACTTACATTGCTGCTCACTAGCGCCCGGTAGAACACCGTTCCGGCGGCATCCATGCGTTAGTTTGCATGGATCAATGTGTGTTTATCCCAGCGTCAGCGTGTGTGTTAGTCTACATGAATGGGGCGGCAAAATATTTTTCGCCTAGGCCAGCAAAAATGCTTGCACCGGCCCTGCCACGGAGCAACCTTAAACATAAAGTCAGGGCTGGCACCCCCCCCTTAAGCAGTGCTCTAGGCGGCCGCCTAGTTGGCCTATAGGAAGTGCCGGCCCTGTCTAAGGGGGTTACGGTCAGTAACCCCGTAGCCACCTTCAATGCCCAGTAGCATTGCACTCTATGATTTGTAATCCTAGTGGGTATGATGACTAGGGTGCCCTTGTGGAGTCTTTCTGTACGTGCATAAATTAACAGTTTCACTACCGGAGGTTTAACTCCACCTCCGGAAACGTTATTAGCCAATCCAAAACATACGTTTAAGCTGGGGCTGGCTAATGCCAATTCTGTGCAAAATTGGCGCAAGACAGCCAATAGAGACATGCCTCCCTGCCCTCCTTACCCTTCAGCGAGGGGGAGTGATGTCAGGCAATGAGGTTCAGGCTAAGGGAGAAATAAGTTTAAGCCTTTTTAAAACAAATTTTGGTGTTTGGTCACGGGGTTACTACAACAGAAATTAGTGTTTTATGAAACACTTTACCTATGTATGTGGCAATATGTGTCTATGTATGTATGTATGTATGACTTGCTATCTCTGTGTGACTGTGTATGTATGTTATTGTGTGTTTATGCATGTGAATGTGTGCCTGTATATGTGGTTACTTGTGTTGATGTACGTGTGAGAAATACAAGGTGAATGGCTAGTTGTATATATGGATATCTTTTAAACATATGTGGTTGGGCCTTAGGCAGCCAAAAACCTACATACATCATAACTAGAGGGTGGGTAACCTAATGGAAAGGATGAACTTTAGATATATCGGTTTGCTTGTTCTGAAGATAGGTTTCACCTCCAATGCATTAGGTGCTCATCCTCAAGTACATTGCCAAGGCAGTACTTACAAACTTTGTCACGAATAGTGCTAATATTTCTAAGATAAAGTGCCAAAAAAGGGCCCAAAACACCAGGCACTAATAGTGCCTACCACGACCTCAGGCGAAAAGGATACAAATTATTTATTTTTTTAAGCTAGTTCAGCAATTAATGTACTGATCAATTCCTGATCTACTCTGACAAACTTAGGTTAAATTAATTAACTAGGTTTAATTTGTCTGTTTTACATGTAACATGTTTTACCGGTTGAAAGTTGGCTATTTAGGTATCGTGAGCATAAAACTTCAGTTGTGTGTTTTTTTTTAATAGAGCTGTTAATTATTTTCATGTTTTCAGTTCTAGCTCCAGCAGTTTCCACTAGAATACGTTCAGAATGTCAAGGATTTAGTCTTTAGACTGTAACACCTAAATTGGTGGTGGCTATACTGCTTTGGAAATTCAAGCAATGCTGCCAGACCTCAGAAATCTGCATTTTGAATAGCTGCACAGAACATGTGTTGTGTAGGTTTGGTTAGTAAGTTATGTTTCCTTGCTGTACTGAGTACCAAGTACACTGAACTTTGTAACAAAAAATAGCACATCTATATTCTTGTAAATATATACTGAAATTATTGGTGAGTATTCAATCACCAATATGCCATAAGTGAGTCATTTATCAGATAACCAAAAGGCATAAACAAAGCATTATACTTAAATTATCATACTGGCTACATGATACTAAAAGTCCTAGTTTCTCTCATAATGATAATTGGCCACTAAAGTGACACAGGTCAGTGACTGCTAACCTTGGTACAGGTCATCAGTGGAAATTAAGTTAATTTATATTTTTTTTTTAAGCTGCAAAGGTTATGCATCACTGACACAGGTAAAAACTAAGCATGGTGCACCATGCCTAACTTCTCTCTGACTCATTCGATCAAGGCATTTCTGTTTGCTGTGGACTACGTGTCCCAAGATGCATCGCATAATTCAAAAGGAGGCTGAACATCAAAGGGAACCTAGATCAGAACAGCTGGATTTCTACGTGGAGAACTCAAAACTCCCAAGAAATAAAAGACAACCAATAGAAAAATATGGCTTTGAGCCACATTATCCTGTGAAAAATCTTGACTGTAACAACCCACACATGGCAACACCGGAAACATTAGTTTTAAAACTCCTGTTTTCCCAAGAAAACAAAAAGCAACCCCCCTCTCTCCAAAACCCAGCCTACTGGTCCAATAACACTCCTAGCCTCCTAGGCTAAAACCAATGGTAGCCCAGATCCTGGAAACAAGGACGGACGGCTGTACCAGCCACTAACAATCATCCATATAATGACAAAGAGGGGGTGGGGGGAGCTAGGTTTGTGCCTTTTGCAGCACCGACCAATAGACTCTCGTCAGCATCTGTGCAACCCCAGCATGCGCTATTAGCATATTAAAGGGCTGGCCATAGCGCTTCACCATCAACCAATAACAACTAGGGAACCTTGGCAACTGTAGTGGGCGTGGCTTTGACTGATAATAGACAGGGCTCGGGACCAATGAGAAGCCACCAGGGCTGCCCTTTCAACCAGTAAGAAAGCTTGAAGAACTGGGCTCCCGCCCAGCAGTAGTTCGTATTTAATTCTCTGCTTGTGGTCCAGTTGTTTCATTCCTCTCCACACCGTCTGTCTGCCTCCTCCATCCTCCTGTGTATTATTCTCTCTCCCCTTCAGACGGGAAGCCCCTTTATTCCATTCTCCAGCTCTAGGAACCCTCTCTTTCTCTCACGAAGATGGCAGATGTCGTTGACACCACCAGCACTGAGGTCCCCGTTGCCAAGGTAATCCCGGTCTCCCCCTCAATAGCTGGCTGCTATTGTTAGTGGCGGGTTTCTTTGTTGTCCTCGGTGAACACGCGGTCTGACGGATTTATGGGGGAGCACTCGGGGACTCTGTGAGAACTTTCCATGGGGGGTCCTGGCGATGCGGAGAGCTGCCCCCCTCCCTTCCTCCCCCGCGATATGTTAGTAATTACCGAGGCACCCAGTGTTAGTCATTGTTATTGGTGTCTGCTGCAGGTTTACCTCAGGGGATGCTGGTTTCTCGCTGTGTGACTCCCGCGGACTCGGTTATACCTGGTCAGTTCCTTTCTATACTTCCGAGGACTCGCCTCACGTATCGCCGGCTCGGTCCGTGTGGAGATGCCGGGTCTATTGTAGTGTGAGTGAGCCGGCCGGGTCTCTGTCAGGGATACCTTACCGGGTGTGTGTGTGTGGGAGTCGGTAATCTAAACCGTGTGCTGATACATCTCGCTGTGTCTGTGTTTCGGATACCGTGTGGTGATACATCTCGATACCGTGTGGTGATACATCTCGCTGTGTCTGTGTTTCGGATACCGTGTGGTGATACATCTCGCTATGTGTGTTTCGGATATCGTGTGGCGATACATCTCGCTGTGTCTGTGTTTCGGATACCGTGTGGTGATACATCTCGCTGTGTCTGTTTCGGATACCGTGTGGTGATACATCTAGCTGTGTCTGTGTTTCGGATACCGTGTGGTGATACATCTCGCTGTGTCTGTGTTTCGGATACCGTGTGGCGATACATCTCGCTGTGTGTGTTTCGGATATCGTGTGGTGATACATCTCGCTGTGTGTGTTTCGGATATCGTGTGGCGATACATCTCGCTGTGTGTGTTTCGGATATCGTGTGGCGATACATCGCGCTGTGTGTGTTTCGGATATCGTGTGGCGATACATCGCGCTGTGTGTGTTTCGGATACCGTGTGGCGATACATCTCGCTGTGTGTGTTTCGGTAGTCGGATATCGTGTGGCGATACATTTCGATGTGTGGTTATGTGGTGGGATTCGGTAGTCAGACTGTGTGTGGAGATAAATCTCGCCGTGTCCCATTTCCCCATCACTCCCCCCCTCCCCGGAGTCCTGCCACCTGCGCTGGCTGCCGTCCAAGCCGAGCTATTTATTCTTTTCCTTCCTCCTGTGAAGCGCTCAGTTCAAACGCATCGGGGAATCGGCGGGAAGGGGGCGCGCGCGAGCAGCCCATGGAAAGTGCGGGAGACTCTGGAGACAGCGCGAGCGGAGGAGGGGGGGGGGTGCGCGCGGCCAACTGCTAGTGCACGGCGGGAGGAAAGGGCGCGGGGACTTTCCTTTGTCCTTCGCGCGCTCGTCGCCAGCGGGAGCGCGCATGGCAGATGTTCGATGTGCGCCCGTTCACGCGCTTTAGTCAACGATGTTTTTTTTTTTTTTTCGACCTTATTACCCCAATCATTTCACTGAGTGGCTTATTATTCCTCCATAATCTTACAGTATTACTGAATGCTAATTAACACCATACTATAGAATAATATTACTTTTATTCTTTTACGACAAATATTCATTTTTATCTGATGTTTGTGTTTTTACGATGTGGATTGTAGTGTATATTAAACATTTATTATAAATTATAAAGTTTATAAATAAAAAGATGCTACTGAAGACCTTGCGTCTACACGTACACACACATACTAGTTATATAGAAATTACAATAAAAGCAAGCGTGTGTATTTGAATAAATTCCTATACATGTGCAACGATGTTATATTTTAATTTTCTTGTTTGTTTATTTTAGGATCTTAAGGAAAAGAAAGAAGTTGTAGAAGAGAAAGTAGAGAAAGCAGAGAAGGCAGAGAAGGCTGAGAATGGAAAAGGAGATGCTCCATCTAATGGAACAGTACGTATTGCTTGTGGCTCATTAATAATCATTTTCTGTAGCCTAGTTCGCCCCATTCTTACAGGTGATTAGACCTACTAAAGCACCTCCTTTTTAATTTATTTTTTCAAAGGAGGAAAATGGTGCAGACCACAGTGAGGAAAACACAGAAGACCCTGAAGAGGAGGATGAAGGTATTTTAATGAAAATCAGCAATGCATTTTTTTTTTTTTTAATTTGTTACTTAATTCTCAGTTTCCTTAACCTAATGTTTCTTTTTAATAGTAGAGGGTGAAGATGATGAAGAAGAAGAGGAGGAGGAGAAAGGTAAAGCAGAAAAGACTGAAAAAGATGACCATCCTGTAAAGCGCCCAGTAGAGGATGAGGTGAGTGAAGCCTAATGTAAATCTAACACAGATACACAGGGGTGATTTATCTCCTATGCTGACATTCTACCGGCATTATACTTATTAGCATTGCAAGTATTCGCCTATGTCACACATTGTACAATGGTTACCACCCATCTTAAACATTCTGAAATTCTCTCATGGGTCTTGATGATAGACACTTTGTTTATCTTTTCTTTTTTTTTTTTTTTCAGCTGAGATATTAACAAGTGCAGTATCTTTACATGATAGGATACATTTAAAACCATGATCTGACAAAGTCAACGTGTTTCTTGTTTTTCAGGAGGAATCTGAAACAAAAACGGAAACTAAAAAGCAGAAAACAGAAAATGGAGAATCCACAGAAGTTAAAGAATCTGCCTAAATCCCTTTCCAGACATTTTATAGCTTAAGTGACATGGTTGACTTTAAATTGTAGAGAATGTGCTTTATATCTGTACATTTTACAGAACGACTTTTTATATAATGTAAAACCCACATGCACTAGAGACCTGTAACATCACAACAAGATAGCTAAGGTTTTTTTGTAAAATGTTATTTATTGGTGCTTGTTTGTACTGGTTTGACTGCTACAATAAAAGATCTTAACTTTTGTTTTATGGCGGTTTAGCTTTGCTTTTGTACATCTTTGAAACACAGGGCACTCATGCTAGTGCAGCCGTGTGTATTCTAAAGTAAAGCTACCTTCCTGTAATATAATGGTGTTAGGATAGGAAAGTTCATATGCAATGAAGGCCAAAGATGTGGGTCTTATTTAGCCAGGGAATAACCTTACCTGGGGCATTCTGTATAGATCTTTGGATTCAAATTTGTTGCTGTTGAGAATATAGTTGTGGTGCAGGCAAAGTTTGAAAATTGCAAGGTTCAATGTGTAAATTTCTCTATCTCTAATGTGCTGTCAAAGTGTGTTATTCTGCTGAAATTTTGAGGCATTGAGGGTTAGTCTCCATACCATTTTATGACTAGGTTATACAAACTATACCTCATTAGTTGATGCTCAAACACTACTTTGTATATTCAGGTTAAGTACTATAAATAAATCTTTCTTTTATAAAAAAAAAAAAAGACTAATTTGTGCTTATTTCACCAATTACATGCACTGCTTTTACATTTTCTTCTGTGACATTGCAAATGACGTCCTTAATTTATTTATTTTTTATTCTCTATAAAATCAGTGAAAATCTTTTGGTTATTTGCACACTGCATACATGTACATCATAGTGAAACATGTAGCTTTATATAAATTAACCACATTATTTTAAAATTGGCAGACCTACTGTCTGTTCTAGATGAACATTCACATTGAAATGCATGACATGTACTGCAGAGTTTTTATTGCTGTTTGAGAGATGGAAAGGGTGGGCTTATGGAGCAAAATCCATTGAAAAAGGACCAACTTAAAAATTCTCAAACTATAACTACATTGCACATAGCATGTGGGTGCCTGCAGCTCCCTTGAAATCCAACCTGTTATAAAAAGTGTCCTAAGTTACCAGCAGGAGTAAACACAAAGCATCTACAGTCTGTTATGCCGTAGATCTCTAACGAGTTTATATAGCGCCATAAATCAATCCAGTTTATTACCTTCAATAAAGTGGTAGGCATTTATTGTTGTGCTACAATAGCTATCAAAAGATAGTAGTTTTTTTTTTTTTTTTTGTTGAAAATGTGAAGTGTATTTTAGCTGTGCAAGAAACAACTTGTGAATTTATGCGATGAGTATTTTGGAATTGTCTGCACAGAATGATCCATGCAGCTGCAGGATTTAACCCCTTAAGGACACAACTTCAGAAATAAAAGGGAATCATGACAGAATATTTCCGTCATGTGTCCTTAAGGGGTTAAAATAGAACGTGATAGCCTAAACCCTAACAAGGTCTCTTAATAAGAACCTGTCATCCACAAATTGTGTAGAATGACCTTTCACCTTGCAGGTACCTATTTATCCAATCTTGGTACATAAGTTACTCATACATGAAGATTGCTTCCTCCTCTTTTCAAATAGGGTGTGGGTGCATGCTAGTTTAGGGATTCTGCTGCTTCACCTGAAGACTTGGGTCCCCTGTTCTAAGATTGTAGTTAGTTAAAGGATCATTATATGGTCATGAACACTAACGTATTCCTGACCCTACAGTGCTAAACCCACCATATGGGTGGCTTGCCCCCACCCTCCCCCTTAGCCTCCCAATAAAAGTTTAAAACTCGCCTTATTTGCAGAGAGGGTCTGCTGGTGCTGGCTCTCCATCCCCTTTGTGACCATCAAAATGGCCGATTGGAATGGCTAAAATCGGCGCAGGGCCAAATGCCGTTTTGGACAATCATCACCTCATAGAGATGCATTGACTCAATGCATCTCAATGAGGGAAAATTCAGTGTCTTCGCGCAGAGCGTGGGGGACGCTGAACGGCAGGCCTGCTTACAGTGCAGCCCTGAGCCAGGAAGCCCCTTGAGTGGCCATCCGAGGAGTGGCCACTTGGAGGTGTCCCTAGGGGCAATGTAAACACTGCCCTTTCTCTGAAAAGGCAGTGTTTACATGAAAATGCCTGACAGGAGCTATTGTACTCACCAGAACAACTACATTAAGATGTAGTTGATCTGGTGACTATAGTGTCCCTTTAAGTGACACAAAACTAGTAACTGTGTGTACATTCTCCTGTTTTTAGGTAGGGATGGGTTAAGTTCATGTAAAAGGTGCAGTTTGGGGCTGATATGAACAAATCATCAGAGTCAAATTCTGCAATTAATACATTGTGCTCTTACATACTCACAAAATACACATGGATTTGGGCTTAAATATTTTGCCCCAAAAGATTATTCTTCCACACATCTATAATAAAAATGTATTTCTACTTTGTTACATAATACAAAGCACAAAAGACCAAAGGATTGTTTTTTGGTATTATTGGGTGATGCAACACAGTATACAGTACGCAAATTTATTTATCATGTTCAAAATTGATAAATGAGATAGAAGAATCTGCTTGGCTATGTAGAAGAATTCATTTTATTATCTTTTTAGGGCGTGGGGTTGATGATATTTTTGCACACTACCTTTTGTATTTATTTATGAGTTCAAATCATGCCAGTCAGTAAGGCGTTTATGTTGGTTATTTCCCAATGTTGATTTTTTTTTTTTCTATGATGCTTGCTTAACTCTTTCTCAATATCCAATATGATAGTGATGCTAAAACAGAGCAGTAGTGTTACGTCTTGCCATAAACAATTGTGTGAGATGCATACCGATTTTCTGGTGCCTACATATTAAAATTCAAAATCACTACTGCCCCCTTGAGGCTGGACCCAATAACGTCATGTTTTCTATGACTTGTAATTTAAATGTTAATGGCTTAAAGGGCCATTCTATGCACCATTGTGATTGCATTATTCTAAGAATGTGTCTAGAGCACTATGCACCTAATCCTGGGACTGGCGTAGACCTGCAGCAATTTGTAGAAATTACACAGCTTCAACTCAGCTGTCAATTAGGCACCTGGAATGCTAAATTCATGTTGCCTGATGTAAATTTTGTTCAACTCTGTGTACCACAACTGGTCTACTAAACAGTGAAACAGCTATGGGTAAAATTATAGCAGCTGCAATATAAAAGTACAATATAAAAACAAAATACTTTTCAGTTTTTAGAATAATTTGTAACGAGTAATAGCTCAGACCTGACTGTCCTGATTATGGGATTGCCTCACGTGTCTGGGTTTCTCAATAACTTTTCTGGCAGTTACAGATGTATTTCAGCTCACCCAATACAAAACTGCTTTACAAAACAATGTATTACATTTGTACAACGTATGTACAGCAGTACACCCATCTATAAATTTGGGGGGTAAGTTGCAGCGCCAAAAGAGACCTGCCAATTTCAACATTTAAGACTGCAGTTTTTCCTCAGACTGATTTACTTGGTCTACATCTCTCCTTTTGGGCACATCAGCCAAATCCATATTTCATTTACTACCAACGTTTGTTAACATTACCAGTAGAATATATTTTTTTCAAACACACATTGAGTTATTGATCGGAATTTCAGAAGCCTGTGTGCAAAAATGTGAAATATGCCACACCAGAATAACTTTTATATATATGTCAATCTTTATTTTATTGCGGCAAGAGATAAATCAATACAGAATGTAAAGCAGGGAGTCATGATATGGTACATATAGTATGGAGTAGACAGCGTCTGTACATAAACTCCACCGTAGAACAGCCTCATTTTATATATTACAACAATAGTTAACTATGCAGAATAAACTGTAATAGTCATAACAGCTGCGCATGAATGGAAACACATCATAAGTATAACTGCGAAATTGTAAATTGTTACTATTACAGATCAGGTAATAGTAACCTGTGCATAAAGCAAATATTCAGCATAAATGAGAGACAGGGTCATGTAGGTAGGGAATATTGTTGGTTGATATGTTCAGCCCACAGTGAAACTCGGAAACAAGCAAAAGCAGCCTGGAGGCTTTACAGGACAGGGGCAATGCATGGCATCCAGAGACAGGTAAGGGTGGAAGGGTGGGGGGGGGGAGGGGAGAGGAACACTAAGGGACAGGGAAGGAAGGGGAGCAAAAAACTAAAAGACATGGAGGGGAGAGGAACACTAAGGGACAGGAGAGGGGAGAAGAACACTAAGGGACAGGGGAGGGAGGGGAGAGGAACACTAAGAGACAGGGAAGGGAGGGGAGAGAAAAACTAAAAGACATGTAGGGGAGAGGAACACTAATGGACAGAGGAGGGGAGAAGAACACTAAGGGACAGGGGAGGAAGGGGAGAGGAACACTAAGAGAGAGGGACAGAGGAGGGGAGAAGAACACTAAGGGACAGGGGAGGAAGGGGAGAGGAACACTAAGAGAGAGGGACATGGAGGGGAGAGGACCACTAATGGACAGCAAGGGGTCTGGAGGTAACCACTAATGGACGTGGAGGAGAGAAGAACCCTAAGGGACATAGAGGGGAGAGTGGCACACAGGGGGACCTGAGTGGGGAGAAAGACACACAGAGGGACATGAGAAAGACACACAGATGGGCCTTGGGGTGAGAAAGTTGCACAGTGGGGTTGGGGATGAAAGTGACACATAGAAGGGCCTGGGGATGGAGAGACAAAGAGGCTGGGGGTGAATGAGACACAGAGGGGCTGGAGAAGAGGGGAAAGAGACACAGAGCAGCTGGGGGGAGAAAGACGGGCTGGTGGTGAATGAGAGATACTCAAAGGAGCTGGAAAGAGTAAAAGACATAGAGGGGCTGGGAGAGAAGGAGACACACAAAGGGTCTGGGGGGAGTAAGACACACAAAGGAGGATTGTAAGAGATACACAAGAGAGGTATAAGACACACAATGGGGAAAAGTAGAGGATAAGATACACTAGAGGGGTTAAGACATTTACAAAAGAGGATAAGAAACAAAAGGTGAATTAAGGGGCACACAGGTAAAGATGCTTTTGGGGGGCAGGGAGGGGGGGCACCAAAATCATCTTCGCCTGTTTACCCAAAAATCCTTGCACTGGCTCTTGGTGGGGGTTAAGGGGAAGGTTAGCTGAGCAGAAGAGTGAGGTGAGGAAGGACCAAGGTATCAACACCCACTTTGAAGAACATTGTAGAAGACCAGAGCCTGAATTGATCTTCACAGACAGTTGAGCTGAAGTCACAGACTCGTTCATGGAGTCCTTGAGCTTTGAATATCCTCCACCCGTTTAATCCACTGCTGGAGGATTGGTGCATGAGTGTGTTTCCAGAGAACAGAGATTAAAGACTTGTACAAACACTGCATTCAGAAAATGTTTTGTCAAGAAATTTTTGTATTTTGAAACGGTGCATTTTTTCTTAAAGCAGAGGAAAGGGATCTTTACAGTTAGCAAAAACAGCAGAATGTTCATGGATATATCTAAAAGACCACTCCATGCACCACAGTGACTTAATCGCTGCTGTCTGATCTTAAAAGGTTAAACCAGTTGCAAACAGTTTATCCAAAACCTTCACAGACGGAGCCAAATTGCTTTGCCATGCAACTCCTTTTAACCAGGAAGCCTTGGCCTAGGCATCCAGATGCTGACACTCTAAATGCTTCCCAAAACTCCGGCCCTCCAGATGTTGCTGAACTACAACTCCCATGATTCCCAGTCTCTTTG